CACTTTGCACCAGTGACGCTGTGTGTCAGTGTTAAAAAACAAACTGAAAATGTGTATTTTAAATTAGGCTTTTAAATTAACTACTACTACTTCTATTAGTACTGCTGCTGCTGCTGCTGCTAATAATAATAATAATAATAATAATAATAATAATAATAATAATAATAATAATAATAATAATAATAGGGCGGCACGGTGGCGCAGTGGGTAGCGCTGTCGCCTCACAGCAAGAATGGCCTCGGTTCAATTCCTGGCCAGGTGACCGGGGTCATTTCTGTGTGGAGTTTGCCTGTTCTCCCCGTGTCTGTGTGGGTTTCCTCCGGGTACTCCGGTTTCCTCCCACAGTCCAAAGACATGCAGTCAGGCTGATTGGACATGCTAAATTGCCCCTAGGTGTGAGTGTGTGTGTGTGAATGTGTATGTCTGTCTGTCTGTCTGTCTGCCCTGCGATGGACTGGCGACCTGTCCAGGGTGTATCCTGCCTTCCGCCCAATGACAGCTGGGATGGGCTCCAGCACCCCACCGCGACCCAGAAGGATAAGCGGTTTAGATGATGTATGTATAATAATAATAATAATAATAATAATAATGCATTTCTTATATAGGGATCTTCTCCTGGACCTCAGTGTTTTAATGAAAGATCCACCTTAATTTATTACTTGAATGTAAAACACTTTGAGCTGCTACTTGTATGAAAGGTTGCCCTATTCATGAAGTTTATTACTGTTATTACTATCATTATTATTACAATAGCAAGTTGCCAAGGGCTATTCTTGATGTAGTAACCCCACCCCCAGCTTGAATCAAACACAAGAGGTACAGTAGAATTTTAAAAATCTAACAGTATAACAGCTGTCAATCAATTCATCAATCAACCGTGTCTAATCTCGGATTACAGTGAGGGACATTTACAAGGTAGCCAAGCCAATACAGAGATGAGGATGTTAGATAAAGGTTAGACAGAAAATAATCAAATTTAATTCTAGCTTGAAAGTGATTTGTGTTTGATATTAAATTTGAGGAAGTGGCCTTATTTAAAAAATTCAAAAATATGCAAAAGTGATGGGTGTACATATATATATATATATATAATATATATATATATATATATATATAGTATATATATAATATATAATACAATCCCATTTCCAAAAAAGTTGGGACGCTGTGCAAAATGTAAATAAAAACAAAATGCAATGATGTGCAAATCATTAAACCCTATATTTAATTGAAATTAGTACAAAGACAACAAATCAAATGTTGAAACTGAGAAATTTTATTGTTTTTTGAAAAATATTTGCCCATTTTGAATTTGATGCCAACAACATGTTCCAAAAAAGTTGGGACGGGGCACCGCTCAGCTCGTAAAACTACTGCTTCTGCTCGAACACAGCAAAACAGGGAGACACGTTCCACACAGCTGCAGGCTGGAACTCAGACAGAACCTGCTGTAAATTAACAATCAGAATCACTTCATTACAGCAAGTACGTTACACATATGAGGAATCAGTCTTGCTCAGTCAAATGTGTGTGAAGGAACATACTGAACAGACCAGACACACAGACTGTTAGCAAGTATATATTTATGCTTTACGTCTGAATTTTTGTCTCTACATTCATCAAACCTGATAACTGGAGATTTAGTCCCTTTTACACTGTTAGAAATAAAGGTTGTGTACATTTTTGTTCATCAAGGTACAAACAGTGTAAATGTTCCCTCAAAGGTTCAACAGTGGTTTTAAGGTCTGATTGTGAACCTTAAATAAGTTTTTCGAGGTGAAAAGTTCATATTTGTACCTTTTCACAACCGAATGTTTTAAAACAGAGCAGTAAAATAAAAAGCCTGGAGACGAGACGGGGTGTGTGGAGTCAGTACAGCATTTTTCGCCTGTGTGGCAGTACACGTCAGCCTACAGTGATTAGGTTTGTGTTTTTAAACTTGCAGTGTTGTTTTTCTTCATCTTTGAAATCTCAGCTGTCTGAGTTTCATTCAGTTGTGTCATCTTCACGGTGCTGCAGTTTTGTTGTGTTTATGTGAATCCAGTATCCCAGTTGGTTGCTATTGTTTTCTATGTCCATAGAGCAGAAGTGCTGGACTAGGCAGGGAGATGACTGCACTGGTATCAGCAGTAGGCTACAGCCTGATGTAGTGATATTGTGGGGCATCAGTGCATTTGGAAATTGTATCTACTACCCACCTTTTTACAGGTCTACCCCAAAAAATATTTCTGCATATGCCACTTATAGCATGTAAAAACATTTTGTGTTAGAATAAACACAAATACATATTTATACAATAGTCAGTATTCTGAAGAAGTGTTGTTTTCAGTAAAGTTATGAATATATATAACACTGATCTGGTTCCTGATTTCTTGCTGTGCTCATAAGAATGTATTTTTTGTACAAATTCATTTTAATGTCAGCCTTATTTTTAACAAATAAATATTTACTGTCCAGATAAACAACTTTACAGGTCATTTTTTGATGACTTTTTGCACAGTACTGCATACACTGCAACAAATTACTTTTGTGAAGTAAAACGATCTGAAGTCTAGTCGATTTATCTAATATTTCCCATCTTGATATGGTAAAAACTTATTTTAAGCTATTTAACTTATTTCTAAGTATTTCTTACTTATTTTAAGTGATATTAGTAAGTGAAATGATCTCACTACATTGGCAGACAATACTTTATGTTTTAGGCACATTTCTAACAGCAAGCAAAATGACCTGTCAGTATTGTGAGATCATTTGACTCAATAAAATAACTGATAACAAAGAACAGATGTCTAGAAACAAGTTAAATAGTCTTATAATGAGCTTACAATGATCTCAGAATCAAAAATACACGTCTGCTGGATTTAAGATCATTTTACTTATCGCTAAGGGGGCCCATCGCTCTGTTCCCCGTGCTGCTCTGGGCCTGTCTGATCACTCGCTGATCCACCTCCTTCCAACCTATAGGCAGAAGCTCAAGTGTGCCAAACCTGTAGTCAGCACTGTGAAGAAGTGGACCAACGAGGCTAAGGAAAGACTTCAGGACTGTGTGTTTTGAGGATGCTACAGGCAGCCTGGATGAACATACGGATACTGCGACATCCTACATCAGCTTTTGTGAAGACAGCTGTGTTTCTACCAGGACTCGCATTAAATATTACAACGACAAGCCCTGGTTTAATGCCAGACTGAAACAGTTGTGCTGGTCCAGCACTGATGCAATTTCTGTCCAGAGAAGATTAAGAAGTTAAAGTCAGACAACCAAGACTTATACAAAGTTAAACCTACAAAGTTAAACCTGATAACCACTGAATCCAAGAACACAGGTTACTGCCACAGCTGGACTCAATGACTCAAAGGCAGATGACTTGGAAGTTAAATCACACAGGTTAAAGCGAACGGACTGCCACAACGGACTGAAACATGTTTATGGTCTATTTATGACTTACCTGTAACGACGATGCTCTGAAGTAACTGTCCAGGCATCTGAACGTAGCTGCATCACTGAGACGGGGTCACTGGTTCAACCCCTAAATTATTACAGATACACTCTTGGATGTAACATTTACAGTTTTTTCATTCTTGTGATGTGAGTAAATTCATTAGTTCACAGGAACCGACCCAAAACACTACCAGCCCACTGGGATTCTCTCCCGACTCTCTCGATATCTCAGTCTAGGACTGATTAAGGCCATAGATGCAGTTTTTCAGAAGCATAATCCGTGTTAAGTTCTGGCTCAACACCAGCACTTTCTGCACATTTCACTGGCTCATCTGTTTGTTTATCCTCCTTTTCCCACATGCTCGCTAATGGGGCCTGTAAGCCATAAAAGTAGCCAATCACCCCCTATTTCACCCACAGTGCCAATTTGCACTTCATTAGGTGCCTGAATACAATTGTCTAAAAAATACTATAATTACCAGAGAGATAAAATAAATAAAGAGATTGTTAAAACTAAAGTAACAAGCCTGTTTTGAAAATGTAGTGAGCAAAAGTAAACAAGTATTAAGTGACAGAAACACTCAGGCAAAGCACAGATACCTACAAAAACTACAGTCCAAAAAGTACAGTAGCAAAGTACTTGGCCACCTCTGGTATGAAAACTGCAGACAGAATAACACGCCTACTAATAATGTAGAATGACTCATAGTGACGCTCACTGCTCGAAAAGAAAAGATGCACGACAATCTTTATCTGGGCAAACATGTCAAACACTTTTCTCTCAAAGTCCAACAACGTGGATTCTCTGGACTGAAGGAGCGGTTTTTGTCCTTTCCAGACTAAATGATGCTGAAATCCTCTGGCTGGTGTGTCCCAAACATTTAATGTCTAATTTCTGCTCTAATGGCTGGAACCAAATTGAACTGTTATTACATTTGAATTATTATATTGTCTTGCTATTATGAGTGGCTACCACAACTGATGAGGAACAATTGCTAGCGCAGCAATGGCCACACGGTAAACAACGCTACTAAACGTCTGGACGAATGTAAATGCATTATTTTTAATAAATCTGCTCTCAGAATGGGGCCAGCGTGATTGGCCCCACAGCTGGTTATTGAAAGTGTGTTGAACGCAGAGTGTATTTAACTGCTCACCTGGTCAGACGAGCGCTGATTGGCCTGACACTCACCAAATGAAGGCTAATAGGAGAAATAGGTAGGATACTGGCATTTACACAACAGGTACAGGAGGATATGTGGAATATATCAGACAGACCTACCACTGTCATATTTAATAAACGCACAACAATGTTAGTTATGAAGAAAAAAAAATATATTAGTTGTTATACTGAATTATTGATCATGTCGTGGCACTGCTCCACAGAGACGCCCCTGGCATGAAGGAGTTGCATGTAATGTGGGGTTTATCTCACACATCTCAGACTGTAGATCATCTTCTCTGTGATCGGATCATGTCTGCTTTTCTCTCGACCTTCATCAAAATAAAATGCCTGATGTGCAGGAAATTTGTTTTTGAAACTGAGCGACCAGAAGAAAGAGAAAGTGAAAGTAGAATAAGGGGATAAATACAGAGCGAGTGAGCAGCGCAGACACAGAGCAGCAGAGACAGAGAGAGAGGGAGGGAGAGAGAGAGAGACTGAGCTCAGAACTGCTAATAAAGGTAAATCCTGACCGAATAGAACACATTATTATTGTTCATTAAGTTTATTTGAACCTTTTTTGTTAGATATCTGCAATATTAATATTAACAGCTGAATGTGTTTTTGCAGCTTCTGATTGAATTCAGTTCAGCAGATTTTTTCTATCTTCATGTTTCTGCTGGATTTTAATGTACAAACTGTTGAATTTATGCATCTGGATTAAATACGGACTTCTTAGTCATGCTGCTGCTCGCTGGTCAGTGGGTGCGGTCAGGAAGGCAATGTTTTCATGATCAGCTGGGTGGGGGAGGGGAAGAAGAAACATAATTTTCTTTTATTTCATTCACTCATTTTATTGAACAACATGATTCATTTATTGGTTAAGATGTTTCCTTGCCTGCTGGGTGATACAGCCAATCAGAAGACATTTCTGTGGCAGCAAAGTCATCATATTTTAATGAAAGATTATGTATTTTGAATAATATTATATAATAAATTGTGATTATAATGACCACAACATGAACAATGTAAAAATGGTTGATTCGTGTTTATTTGTAAAATACAGAGCTGAACATTAAAAAAAAAACTGTAAGATTTTTGAAAAGCTTTTTAAAGTTGGTTGTCAACAGTTTGATAAACGTTCACCTGATCATTCTCGATCATTCTAATACCAGTAATATTAACAGTCTTTATTGCTTTATTGTTACAGTTGTATTGAACTTATATAACTTGTCTATTTTCAACACTTCCAGGAAATTCTTTCACTGTCAGACACACAATGGCTTTCCTGTTGGGAATGTTTGTAGACAAACCCGGTGAGTTTAAACTGCACACATCAGCCTCCAACACACCACAGTAAAACACGATAATAACAACATAACACAAAAAGTTTAAACTCACCATTTCCATGTGTGTTTATTTTCTGGACGTAAATGTTGTAGATCCTCTACAGACTCACTACTGTACACTATAATACACACTTACTGTTTAATGAGTTTAACTTCTCTGAGAAAAAAAACATAAAATGTAAAAAGTGCCATAACTTTTTCACAGGTCAGTTTTTATTTATTTTTTCATCCCAGTGTGTTTAATTCAGTAAATAAACAGTAAATGTGTTTAAAAATGCTCTGTAATAATAAAATATACCAGCCTTGTTTAAAATGTAAACAACATCTTTCAAACTGTAAAAATATCATTTTTATCATTGTCAGTTCCGCCTCTGCAGCGCCCCCTCTGGTTCAGCTCTGCTATAGGCGCAGATGACATGTCTTTGTACCAAAGTACGATGACAAGTCACAGTATGCAAATCAGTCAAACAACATTACCACCCCCCGATGACACCCTACTCATGCCGCACTCATAAATATGAGAGTGAGGAGAGAACTGCACTCACGCTGAGCTAAAGACCCCCAGCACCTCCTCACAAGGCTGCAATATGATAACCCAGTTAATCTGAGCTTAGTTTGTAATAAAGATGTTGGACTGATTAAGTGAGGATTCTTGTCTCCATAAATCTGCCAGTGTTGCATCCAATTCACATTTCCCTTCACAACTCGGACACTCGGACCCTTGGACCCTCGGACGCAACTCACTGAACGGAATCAACAGCAAGCAACACTTTTTTCTTTGTTATATTGAATATAAACCTGCTGAATAGATCATTAGAAGCTGGCTGTCACAGTTTCTAGGGAATGTTCTACTGTTCGGCTGCTCCGCCGCTCGCTGTCAATCATTTTCTGGCGCTACATTAACTCTTTGGCTTGAGTCAGTGGCTCATACTGTTCAGGCTCGAGATGCACTGCCTGACCAGAAACACCTTCCTTCGGCGAAGATGGAGATGATAGTAGAGAAAAATCATCAACCTCGTAAAACCTCTCAGTTCCAAAAGTGCCGTTTGATTCTGTCTCTCTCCAGATTTTCTGGTAGCAAGAAAAAAGACAAAAAGAATAAACTATGGACAATATTATTAATAATTGGAGAAAAATCAGAAATGATTCATAACAGTCCTTAGCAGAGCCGTCAGCTGAGCTCAGAGATTAAATTCAAATGTTCTGATTTAAATATTAAAACAAATTCAAATAAATTAATTCATAAACAATAAATACATTTTTTGTTTTTGGATTACAAAAATTAAAAAATATACAAAACTGCAGTAAACGATAACACTTTGATCCCCAACAGAACACTGAAATAACCATGCTATAAACATGTAATAGCAGATATTGTATGCTGTCATGAGCTGTCATGACAGATTATAGCAGTAATATAACTTTATTTTCCAGTAAGATGGTATTGAAATGTACCAGTATGAAACTAGTTATGAAAGTTTATGTCATAGTTTTTTTTTCTAATTGCTCTCTAATTAGCATATCATCACTGTTCAAAGAAAAACACATGT